GACTGGACATGTTGAGAGGGCGGTCTTCGGAACTTGCAGGAAAAAGATAGGACTATGACTCCGAGACGCGAAAATATGTGAAAAGGGGGTCTCCGGTGACCGGAAATATTTGGATAAATAGGGAGTCATAAACACGGGTACATGATTACCATGCACATATTAGGAGTGTCCCCGGCGGTGAATAGCTTTGGCATATGGTGCGTCTGGATCGGATGCGGATCTCTTTCTTTTTTCAATTAGTGCAGCGTTCATTGCAGTGCCTTATGTGTTCGGCCGCATGTATGTACTAACTGTAAAGGGTTACACGGGTAAAAACACGAGTATCCGTCAGGCCCTACAACAACTGTTCCTATCATATATTTTCCTTTCTTCATTACATGCCTCAGCTATGATCTGATTTACTGGGAGGACCTGTCACACATCCTTGCATTGTATCTATTGAAAAAATTAGGGATCATCGAGAGATGATGTTGAGTCAAGTGCATTAGTTTTATGACTGCAATCGTTTATTTAGTTTGTTTTTATGAAATACTGTATATATACACTCAGGAGTTAATATATGACACACATTTATTTTGTATTTATTAACTCCTTTGATAACACTTTACGGTAAATAATAAACATCGGGGGTCTTTGGAGCCGTAGTTGTGATTACAGCAAAAAAATGATGATTTGTTAGTCATTTGACAATTGTTTAGTTTAGTGTTCAGGAGGCAAAATCCCAACCGCTTTTATAGGATCCTTCTCGAACTAGCAAGTATAGCTGCTATGAGTCCCATCACGCTCATACTGCGAATCCGAGTTTTTTGGTAAGAAATATTATTTTTACGAAATCAAGGGAAAATGTATCACAATCCGTACGCGCAAATCAAGTAATACGGCAGTACGCTACGCGCAAAGCCAAATACACACGCACGACCGCTTACACATTAGAACTAGAAAAAGAAATAAATAGACTAGAATAGAAAGAGAGGAATAGAATAGAAGTAGACTAGAATTAGAAATGATCGAATGCAATTCTTTCTAGTTTAGGGCGTTAACGACGCGCAAATCAATGCACACGCACGCCGTAGCATGCGGCAAGATGCCCAACGCACGACTCATACAACGCGGCACATTGCACACGCACGAGCCGTACACAACGGTATGGAAGCCATCACCGCAAAAACCTAACTATTTGTAATCGCGATTAAATTATTTTAAGCGGATTAATTCCAGCAATCGACAGTGGTTTTTTAATTGCGATTAAAATAGGATTTTAAAGCTCGAAATTCAATATCAGCCAATCAGAACAGTGTTTTTAATAATCCGATTAAAATAGATTTTAAAGCACGCGAATAAAATAAGTAGTGTTTTGTGCGTGTGTTGATTGTGTGTGTGTTGTGGTCTCGGTGTGTGTGATCCTGTGGTCTTCTATGTGTGTGTCTATGTTGTGTGGTGTTGTGATGTGTGTGTGGTGTGTCTTGATGTGCTGTGATGTGTGTGTGTGTTCATGTGTTGTGTGTGTGTTATGTGCTGGTGAGTGTGTGTGTCGTGTGTGATTATGTGTGTGTGATGTGGTGTTGTGTGTGTGTGTGTGTGTGTGTGTGTGTGTAGTGTGGTGTGTACTGTGATTGATGTGTGTCTGTGTGTTGTGTGTGTGTGTGGGAGAGGTTTGGGTTGTGAACCATGCTCTTGTGTGTCAGCGTTGGTTATGAGGCCGTCTTGCTAACGTTTGATGATCAGTCCAATACATGCTGTGTACCAATTCCACTATACACACATATTATGTGCTGCATATCGTCTTTACTACTAGCCTGACGTAGGTAGCTTATATCACGGGGCGAGTATATACGTATAGGATATTAAGACATATATGTAAAAGTATAGTACAGCATGAAAGTGATTATAAACTTGGTTTAATTGTGATTATTATGTACAACTAAAAGAGATAGCCATAAACGTACTTATATAAACTGACACAGCACACGCATAATAATAATAATTAATAATAAATAATAATAATAATATAAATTGGATTATGATACTGATGGCAGATTGCCTAATACAAATATGTCTACATACAGCACGGCGATTGGTTTAGTGTGAGTTCAATTGCATTGCTCTTGATTTTGCAATTCGTGCTAAGTTGACTCGCATGAAATTATCAAACGATACGTTGCCAACACGATCTATGTACATGAATAGAATACCGCAGCTATAGATAAGTACACGCACAATAACACACACACACACCACACACACACACACCACACACGCACGCACGCACGCACGCACAGCACGCAGACACGCACTCACGCACACACACACACCACACACACACACACACGACAACACACCTCACACACAACTGAACGTACGCTAAACCTACCTATGGCGGTAATGGCCTTCCATACACACGCGCAAATGCACACGCACGACCGTATACGCACGCGCAAATGCACACGCAGGCACGACCGTACGCAGTGGCGTAGCTAGGATTTTTTAACAGGGGGGGGGGGAGGCAAAAACAGCGAACTGCGCAAAATAGTAGATATACTTTATTTTAATATTTTAATGGTTTCTCCGCCTCCCTCTCCACACACTACGCTCCCACCTCTCAGCTCTGTAATCTTTGTTTTGGGCGCTTGCAAAAATGCGACATTAATTTTTTTTTCGTTTTTCTTTGCTCCCAAGATATGTAACTGTTCGGGATTCCAAGGAGGGGGTGAAATTCAAAACAGGCGGGGGGTATGGAGTCCTCCACCAGAAAATTGTGAAAATGTAGATCGCAGGAGATGGTATTTGAGCCACTTTTGAGTACATGTACAGCCTTCATTCTGACTACCGACATTTCTCTTTTTATTTACTTTCGGATCAACCATGGCCCCCCTTGCCCCCCCCCCCCCTAACCCTACGCCACTGACCGTACGCACGCGCAAATGCACACGCACGCACGACCGTACACACGCGTAAATGCACACGCACGCACGACCGTACGCACGCGCACGCGCGCATACACATGTACGCGCTCATACACACGCACGCCCATATGTAGACGCGCATGCGCACGCACCCCCGTACGCACACGCGCACGCACGGACACGCACGCGCGCATGCACACAAGCTAGATAATAACATTCTAATAACAATAATAACATAATATGCTAACATGCATGATATATGCATATAAAAATAATATGCTAACATGACAAAACCTCCACCATTAAGATAGTTACCTACACATACTAATAATTAAATCATGCGTCACGACTCTGGAGTTGGCATTGTATGCCATAAATGTATATTATAAACCAAATACACAAACTTTTATGTATGACGTCATCACACAGTTAATTTTAACAAGTCATGATACAATAATTGTATCATGACTTGTTAAAATTAACTGTGTGATGACGCCCTACATAAAAGTTCGTCTACAATTATTGTGCAATGCCACGAAGCATGAGCAAAGTTCACGCGTGACGTGTGCTTATGCACTAGACAAACTTAAGCTAAGTAGGCCCTACACAACATGTGACGTAGCCACTCACATTAAATCTACGCAAATATTATCTAGAGCCAAGTCCACGACTAGCAATAGACCAGCGTAGCAAAATGGCCGATTGGCTCCGTGTGAAAATAGCTTGGAGTATTTCTGGTGTGGTTTTTGGAATATCAGTATTCATTGTATTTCTTGAAGTGTATTCGAATTATCACACGGCAATATGGGGACTTGCATCAGGTAAAAATGGATATTTGGAAACGATTATCATCTTCGCTCTGTCGGGTTGTCTGCGTATCCGCAAACGTATAGTCGTTGTTTCGTTTATGGATTAATTACCTATCAACATATTTCAATGAGCCACCTGGTTTAATTAAGTCTGATGACAGCTACAAGAACCCCTGATCGAAGTGGTGCTTGCAAGAATGAGACTGATTGTATATGGTAGCTGCTTGGGATTATTTACAGATTGCTGTATAAATTCTCACGAATGCCAAATCTCTTGCCAACCCACCTCATGCATCCTATATTCCGTTCACGGCCGAACCTCGACCAAATTCCTACAGAAGAGGTGGGGGTCATAAAATATCGTGGCGTCACCGAGTAATTACATGAGAGGGGGGGCAGCTCGCAATAAACGTGAATAGTGTGGTGGGGGCGGGTCCGTGACGAAAGTTTCACGGATGACTACACGATGATTGACACTTATTTTACACTTATTACACTATCCATTTATTCGGCTTCTATTAAATTTGTATTAAAAATCTGGAGGGTCAACCGCTCCTCTAACCACCCCCTCTCATCCCCAAGCGAGAGACCACGTCACTGTTCTTCCTAATCTGGTGTGAACAAGCACGACACACAAAGCACCGCACTAATGCGCACCTTGTTCACGTCGTTGTTACTATACATGTTTATATGTTAATATAATATATATATAATATCAAGAGTACATAATAGGAGATCTCCTATTATGTACTCTTGATAATATATATATGTTAATATGTTAATATATGTTATATGTAATTAACAGGTGCAGCGGCCGCGTCGGTAGCATGGCTGCACATGATGCAGCATAGCAGAAAGCTGAAGATGCACTGCTCACGCATCGCCCACATGCGGATCGCCGGAATTACGATGCAGTGCCTGTCGGCAGCGGCGTGCGTCACTTACGTAGTGCTGGCAGCAGTTGATGGACAAGGTAGCCGGGATAGAGAGTTATAGAGAGATAGAAAGCAACACCTCTGTTTGGGAATGCACATAGTCATCTACATGTAGAAATGAACGCGTTCGCATGTGTTAGGAAGGGTAGACATGGGTGCAGCGGTTAGTAAAGGTAGACATGGGTGCAGCTCCCCCTCCCCTCCCCCCTGTTTGAATTTCATCCTGGGGAGAACCCTGTATAAGATTATTTAGTTGGATGTACAACCTTGATCTTAACGCATTTTCATACCCGCGTTGATATTCTCACGTGAACTAAACCGCCGAAATGTTACGGTGCGTACATGGGCATAGCTTACCTTGTCTCTGTGAACAGTGCAGGTAAAGTAGGATAATATTCGCCCAGGTAGGGAGTGTTGGATTTCTGCACACATAGGGCAGGAAACCAGCCAGCCTACAACAGGAATGACTAGTGCATTACAACTGCCAGTTTCATACCAAGTGCATCATACATGTATACTATACTATTATGGGTTCATGAATGATCATATGCATCGTAAGAAGCTTATATTAATAACAAGTTACATCACATTCTTTTCATGTTATCCTGAAAACCTATTGTTATTTCGCAGTCCACGTTCTTGCTCTAATTTTCCAGTCATTCAGATATCGTACAACGATTTTCCCCACTCAGCATAGAGATTAAACGTTTTTTCGATGAAAGCCTTTGAGTTTACCTACCCTGTCGAAATGTGTTGAACTACAGTTGTACGTGTACGGCGCTGCTGGCTGTCCACCTGGCAGTCCTTCCTTGCAGTGAAACGACGCGATGGACCCTGCCCGGCAGTCCTGCGTGAAGCAAACAAAAATCTACATGATCCACATACAAGCATGCGAGCCCACACAGTGCTAATGAGGACATCGATATGACCAAGAGTAGACAATTTAACATGTTATGACATGTTATATTATCTACTCTTGATATGACGAATCTGTATAATGTGTAAACACTGGTCTAACAGCCCGACACTCGCTTCAACGTTCAACGATCGTCCGACCGACACCACCAACGCACTGAACCACATCGTTATTCGACTGCTGAGTTTAATTCCACTGTAATTCAGTAGATACGTCATCGTTCCAATATTAACGTGTGCAAGGTTGAAGAGTATCAGCTAGCGAGATGTCCTTCTTACGGCCCTTTTTGTAGCAGACGGTCAACTTAACCACCGGATGACGGCCGCGTTCTGATAATCACAGCGAATAAAACCGATGATGCGTGTGATTTTACTAGGACACGATTGTCTCAATCGTTCGAGACTCCTCGCTTCGTCGATGCGATGTCGATTTGCTAGGACACAGCTAACCTCCTCTCTTCATCGATGCTAGCCAGTGATGTTATTATTATTATTATTATTTTATTTATTTATATTGTCCCCTTTTACATAATCAAAAGCACAACACATCAATATCGTAAATGACTGAACAATAAAATGAAATGATAATAAATGTGTACATGTGATATATCGCTACAACTGCGAGATACAATGACATTAAAACAAAGTTGACTAAGTAATCACTAAATAAGATGAAATCCTATACATTAAAAGCTAATTTAAAAAGATAGGTCTTAATGCTAGCTTTGAAACTACTAAGTGTTGAAATGTTGCGGAGTGTCGACGGAAGTTCGTTCCATAACTTTGGTGCTGCTATGCTAACCATGCTAGATGTGCTGCAATGCAAGCCGTGTTACCCACAGGCACTTGAAACGTCTCAATTAACAAGTGCCGCGGAGCGACAGCGCTCATCTAACGTCTACTACGGTGACTCTGTGGTGGAGTGGTGGGATTCTAGTAAACTAAAAACGTGAGCAATGCAGTGCAAGAAACATGAGTGATGCAGTGTAGGGAAAATGAGTGATGCAGTGCTGGGAAATATTAAGGAAGTATGCACGGACGACCATGGCCAGTCGAGCAGTGATTCACCTAATAAATACTCTCTATTTCGCTAGAGTAATTTTTAAGATGGGTAACACACACCACAAAATACAAAATAAGAAATACACATAATGTAAGTTATGCGGATGACACGATAAACAACATAAAACAGATCCTTTAGGAAATACAGATGATATAATATCTACATAAGAAAGGCAACAGCAATGGACACGGCCACCTACGCTAGTCGGAATTCAACGGTGTTTGTTCGTGGAGACGACATCACACGTTTATTACCGTTTCACAGGTGCAGGCGGCTCTGCAGGTACTTCAGTGAACGCGACGCTCGTAGTGATTGCAAAAGATTCGAGGTCGTCGCTGCCGTTACGGCATCGGACGCTCTCCGCCCCGGAGCAGCTGAGTTTCCACGTGGACGTGATGTAGCTGTAAAATATTCATCGCGATCGCCATCGTTTCGTAACACCGCACGTGATTTCGTGCATGCACGTGATAGGTTATAAACTTTGAGGCAAGGGCAAGCGGTCACGCCCACTGCCAAACTCGGGTTGACTCGGCTGTGGCAACCTGCGGTTCACAAACGTCACTTCACAGTGGAACAGGCGCTCGAACCATGCTAATTCCGGTATCACACAACCATGCCGCGAATACGTAAAGTTTGTTACGACCGCGAACGCACGCAGCGTACTGTATACGCCATATTTTTCGCGTACAGATATTTCCGCAAATTCAGACTTGACAGACAATTTCGCGAGTGGTTAATTTCGCTGTCGGCGAATTCCCGAATCAGTGAAGAACAGCATGTTGTTATTTTCGCGTGTGGTTATTTTTGCGGTCGAGGACGTGTTCGCGAAATTCGCGAAAGTTAAACCACTACGAAATATACAGCGTATGCAGTACCTTATCTTGGCGCCGATGATTTCGTAGATGGGTTCACCGTTGCTACGTCCAGCTTCCGTGTAGAGCACATCCAGGATGGCTCCCGTTGTCATGTCGTTGCAGATGGCTTCACCTTCGAGCGGGAAGTCGCCCGGCGGCTCCTTCAGTAAAGTTTTTCCAATGTCTCTGATGATCTGTGCAGGAAAACAACAGTTACACTCAATAGCATCGCCGGCCATCAGTCAACCTCTCGTGCGAAGATTTATAATGCGGTAATTTCTCGTCTTTTCTCCGCTCAATTCGGGGAGAAAAAGCCTTCTGAAATTGTGTTGCTATGTTACATAAACAGACTTCTCCTAGCAGTGCTACTCGCTGTTATGCAAATGAGGTTGTTAGCCTCATAACGATAACACAAACCAATTTCAACAGCTGAACAGCATGTGGCGCCTAAAGTGAATTGGAATAAACAGCCTTGTTCAATTGCACAACAGCAGTGAGCATGGTGGAACTCAATCACCAGGCCTCGCAGCATCTGCCTCAAGTGTGCTATCCTCAAGACCACCACTGGCTAGCGTAGTTCAAATCATTTTGTTGAATAAGGTGGTGCTGTGGCATGCTACAATTCTCTACAAGTCACTGCTACAGTTCTCAATTAAACCAATTGTACCATGGTGCAGTCATGTGTGAAGAATAGGCCTGGACAGTCAGTCAGCGACGCCCCCAAAGCGACGATACCAATCGTAAGATAATTTCTCTCCGTAAAACCGCCCTACCTGGTTTATATTGAGTGACAGCAGAGCAGGTGAGGGTGTGAGCTCGGGTGCTGCTGTAGTTGATTCGCTAGTGCTCTCCTCCTCGGTCCCTTGTGCCGTCGTCATCTCACTAACCTCCGGCGATGCAGTTGTCAAGGGCTTGAAAATACATCAATAATATACATAAACTCATTTATTACATAGCCCTCCTAGCCAGAGCCAATGTGGCGCCACCTACAGTCACGTTTCGGTAAAATTAGAGCAGAACTGTAGATAATATAGCTAGTTTTATAATATTGTTAGGAGTAAGATAATAACAAATTATCTCTTATTATATTACTGCTAATAATATTATAATTAGTAAAGCTAGACCCCAGTAGCAGGCACCCACTCCCACACACAGGCATGCACTCATGCAAGCACGCACACTTACAACAAGTGCCGCGGAGCGACAGCGCTCATCTAACGTCTACTGCGGTGACTCTGTGGTGGAGTGGTGGGATTCTAGTAAACCCTGTTAGTCCCAAATGTGTTCACATACACGCCGAAACAGTGGAAGGCATCAGGAACCTTCTCAAAGGAATGTTCGTTGCGATCGTTATGAAAGT